TTGTAAACACTATGGTTCTCCACATTTAATCTTTATTTTCGAAGTACAATCAATAAAATCAAATGCACAACTCTAAATCAGCTGGGCAAGTCGCATCGCAGGATATCCGTCAGAAAATGCATGAGCGAAAAGATTTTTCTCATTAATCTTAGCGTCTTCCTGCTCTGAGGTGAGTCCTTTCGAAAAAGGGTCGTGTGACTGCTCAGTGTTTAAGAAAGACAACAAATGCATTGTGTCAAACAACGTGTATAAAAGAACAAATTTTCAACAAGGTGCCGTAAAAAAACATAAACTATAACAATACTTAAACTAAAACATCTGAACCAATTATGCATGAAAACGATGTACAGTTCCATTTGGTAGAGATCCATGACAGCATGTCACACAGACTTATATTACGAGCCTTGGCATCAATCTTGCTGACTTTGACCGTTCGATCCTGCATTATTCGAACCCTGATCCTTGTCCACCGTGGGTGTTGTTTGAGCCTTGTTCACTCTGACTGCTATTTGATTCTTGCCCGCCCTGATTGTTGCCCACGTTCTTATTGACTGGCGCACTGGTCACGCAGCAATATTCGGCCAAGCAAATATTCGGCTATTTAAAAGTGTTGGATCAAATGGAAGGTGGGGACGTATCAGAGCGGGTCGGGTCAGGTTCCGGCCAACGTACAAAATATTGATTCGAATCGGGTGCCAAAACTTTATTCCGTATTTTTCTATATTTTCAACAGTTTTCTTCAAAGTTTGTTGACGTTGTAATTTACGAACTTTTTGCCTTTTTCTCTGACCAGTTTTCTGGTATCTTTAGAAGGTCTAAAAACTGGTTTACATTTTCGTGAAACTCTGTTCATAGGAACACAAGTTTCTACACATTTTGAAAAATGATTTAAAAGTATTTCGATAGTCTTGTTTACTTCATCCGAAAGAAGGAACGAGTTATCGATTTCTGATAACATTTTATGTAATGCAGATAAATTGCAGTTTTCATAATCATAGATAAATTTACTCGATTTTTGTCTATAATCTACATTAAATTTAAAATTTGATTGTAGCAAAAAGAATGTGACGATCTTCCTAACTCTGGAAAAAGCTTAGTGAAAGGCAGGTCCCACTCCTTAGGATAAAACATGTTGTCTGAAACACAAACAATTTTTTTATTTTTTTATTCGTAGTTGAAACATTGAAAGAACGCCTTAATGAGAAAAATTCTAGTATTCGTTTCAATCTAGGAGGCGGTACTGCCGTATTAACATTAAAATCGACAATTAGAACAGGATACGTCCTTTTTCACATTCTTAAGCAAAAAGTCAAACAAGGAATCATGAAAAATGTTTCTAGATCGTGGACGACGGTACAGATTACACAATAAAAACGTACATGCAGTTATTTCAGTTTCTAATAAAACAGTCACCCCTTCTTTTGAACATGTAATCAAAGACTGTTCAATATCTTGCCTAATATAAACAACAATTTCTTGCGATTTACGTGAGAAATCACTTGGATAATGCAAAAAAACCGTTACAGTTATTTCCTGATCAGAAATCGAACTACCAGTGAAGCTTTCTTGAATACAAATAACGGATGGCGTTTCTGTTAGAGAAAAAGCTTTTACTTCATCGATGTACTTTGGCAAGCTCTGAATGTTATGAGATATAACAGATAGAAAATTTTTTGGCGCAGAAATGGAAGGAGAAATAGAAGAGGTAATGCTAGTTAAATTAGACGAAACTTCTAGATGTGCAACATCTTGTCACAAATATAAAAAATTAGATAGAGTCTGATACATTAATTGACAACCTAAATAATTTGGATGAAGTCCATCTCTCAATATACCATTTTCAAAATTCATACGTCATACGAGAAGGACCTAAATAGGAAGGTAAAAATGGAAGAGGGAGACCATTGGCAACCGCAGATATGTGATACATAGAAAGCGATGTATTCGTTTAGTAGTTTCACCGTGCCAATGTTATCCGTGACTCATTCCAATTCTCCATTTTTTTATTTTAGTATACTAGAAGAGATTTTTCGTCCCATAGCCCCGTCGATTTCAGTATTGTCCACTAACTTTTATTACTAGAATTTATATTATTTATTTATTTTTCACACGTAATCGATTGCTATTTAAAAACGCCGACACGTATCGGACTAATTCTTTCACCATTTTACTCAGCTTTCGAACCTCTACATTTTCATCTACGGTGATGCACATATTGAAATCTTCGCGGCTCGGACGTCTGTATAAAGTGGGCGGGGTTGTATGGAAGCACACTTCGTCACAATTACAAGATTGTATATTAGAAATAATTAAGTCATTTATGATATATTCTAAGAAATTATTAAACATAGCCGAATAAGAATCCGATCTATAGAAAATGTCGCATAATATGTTTTCTAAATGAGGTACAAGTGACGAAAAAATTATTACTTTAAAATCTGTACGTTGGAGAGTAATCAGTTGTTTGAAGCGTATATCATTCCTTATGTAGAGAGGACAGCCTCCTCCTATGTTAGTGATGAGCTAATGAAAGATATTGTTTTATAAATATGAAGTAAAAGGAAAAGAAAGAAAATGTATGGGAGAATGTGTATAGAGTGTATATTAGATATTTTATGGAGCACTATATCGTTTAGAGAAGAAACCAACAGATAAAAAAGAGAAGAGAAAATGCATGGGTGAAAAATTTGTTATACTCGATATACAAAAACAAAATGTTTAACCCTTATGACATCGTACTACTAGGAAGGTGGGTAGAGAAAAACAGAAATACTACAAAAAATCGCTGTTTAAAGTTTATGAACATATATCCGATAACTCCGACCTATCTCGACTGATCACTTATGAGTTAATATGTGGTTTTCGTTCATAAAATAGAAGCTATGGGCGTATTCAGTTATGGTTAATTCAGGTCGATCGTCTGCTTTTCCTTTGTACAATACGTGCCCATTTCGAATATAAACGTGAAATTTTTGTTCCGATGGAAATCTAACTAGTAACTATTATACAACGACATTGTTCGTTCTGTACAATCCTCAGATGTAATAAATTTACATTTATTTGATTGTTTAAAATATTTTCTGTAGGCTAATGTAGCAAAAGCGAACTTCTCGCGAATAGAAACAAGCAATACCAGCACAGTGCTTCACATTCTTCTTTTTACCGAGTCGATAAGCTACTCCGATGTCGTGAACGAATAAGGAACTTTCATTCATTGAGCTAATCGAATTATCTGTTCTTTACAATTTAATTTTCTTTTATTCTAATCAATCTCAAACTAAGCGTGATCTTCCCTCGATATCATCAATCTTTTGAGTGAGAATTTCATTAAGTTCTTCATTAGCTTTGAGTTGATTACTAATAATCGATCATTAAATAATGTGAGAACCGGCTTAAAAGAATTTTCGAAAGGGTATACATGCTCTAAATACGTCATTTATCAGGAGTGCGTCGCGGTTTTGGAATGAATTAACGCTTGACTTGTGTTCTATCCCGAACCCGAAAAAATTTAAAACTAAATTGATGTCCCAGCTATTGTCTAATCATGGTTATTTTAAACTTAAGCTACCTATAATACCTAATGAGCGCATTTTTGACATTGACTTTGCAAGATGTCGGCTGAGTTTTAGTCAGCTGAATGCTGATCTGTATGCACGCTCACTTGTATCGTCTCCTAACTGTGCTTGCGGATTTAGTGAAACTGTAGCCCATTTTTTCTTACATTGTTCGCTACACAATAAGGCTCGCACAGATTTATTTCATGTTATAACAAGAGTTTTAAATAACAATAAGATTACTATTGATCATATTTTATTACGCTATCCATGTATGGCTACCCTATCCGTATCACAAATGGAAGAAGTCTACTTAGCTATCATTCGATATATTAAATGTACCAGTCGTTTTCGGCCGCCTTGATGCTGTGTATTTCTTTTCCTTGCATCTCCATCATTCACCCTGGCACACAAACTATATTCCACTCCCCTCCCTCGTTTCTGCTTAGATCATCCATTCAGATTAATTTGCTGAATTACATTCTTACTTTGTTCTTTCTTCTTGCTATATAGTATATTCATTACTGTTTTTATTTCGGTTATGGGCTTTTATATGTATTATCTTAATGATTCTCTCATTCATCCCATTGTGATGATCAGCAATTTCACAGATCTCGTGCGTTTTCAGACATTCTTGTATCAAATCATTTTAGGGTAGTTTCATCAACTGGTTCGAAACTTAATTATTTCGGAAACTAATTTTCAGTTATGTGTTTTCCCGCAACACTTAGTAGTTGACACAAAGATTTTAATAGTAATGAATAGCCCGTCAATTGAAGAATACTTCTATCTGTCTGAATCTATCATTTTTCGATTTTGCCTGATGTCCGTCTCAATGCACGCTGTGTGAGGGCGCCTTGATAAGGCATCATGGAGTGTTTTTTATATAGAAATACTTTATATTGATCGAAAATGAAGTTGCCTCTGAAGCACCTTAGATACGTTTTTTTAATAGGGCGCACCCATTTATTCATCCGTGCATAAGTGCCGTGTAATGTTGTAGTACAGCTATTCTTATTTAATATTGAGTAGATAAATAACGATACTTTATTGGCTCTGGACTCTGAACAAAATGAGAACTAGTGGTAGAACAAAAAACCAAAAATAAAAAGTCGTAGACAACTCTCAGTTAGAAATGAGATGAATGACGTTATACCTCTCTAACCTCTTCTATAACGTCATGAAAATTAGTTTCCTTTCTGTAACATTATCTATATATAGTAGTGTTGCCCTTGGACGAGAGGAGAATATAAATAACAAAACTTTCACTTTCACGATGATGTTCCTTTTAAAATATTCTGCACAGTGAGCTTTCATGCATAAACTAGTTGAGTAACAATATGGCAAAACGTGGGGTGATGTCATAGTCTGTTTCTTCCATTTAGGTAAAAAGAAACAGAACTATTAACAGCTGTTGATCAGTAAGTGTGCATGCTGAAAAAACAAATGCAGAATAAACTGCACGACGCTTGCTCAAAAAATGAGGTGGAAAAAGTTCGTGATTACGTTAAAAAACTATCCATCGATGAGATTAATCGAGTTGAAATTGGAACAGGAAATACTGCACTTCACATTGCTACGATGAAAGGCTACATTGAAATCATCAAGCTCTTATTAGAACGAAACCCGTTCAGATCGATTCGAAATAAATCGAACAAACGTCCTTTCGATTTAGCACCAAATGATAACGTTCGAAATCTGTTTAAACGAGAAAATTGTTCCGATCGTTTCTGTTCGAGACCCGGCAGCCTGTCAGCTCCAATATCCCTGGTTAACAAAGATAAAAATGGTGATGGCTGTTCACTGTGTGATGAAAATGATCCGTGCGAATGGGAAATTGTCGACGATTTTGCCGTCGAGAAAGCACTTCGTTTTCGGCAAGAACTGGAATACTCACTATTTACCCGAAATAACGTTAATCGTGACTTGAAAAACAAAATTTACTCAATCAACAAAGGTTATCTCGATTCGAGACTTCGTGACATGCATGGCATTGACAGTATCAAGGCATATTTCAGAAACGCAAGCGAGAACGGAGATCCATTCGAGATAGTGCGTGCGTATTCTTCACCTGCTGTCAGTTTTTACAAATACGTCAACGGCGATATGGCACGAAACATCATTCATGATTTGAGACAAGGATGCTCGAAATTCTTCTGCACCCGTCTGTATTTAGCCCAAGACGGTGTCATGTCTATTGCTTCGATTCTTTTACATCATCCGAAATTTGCACCGTACACTTTTCGTGGAGAAGTCTATCGAGGCATAGTCATGAAAAAAACGTCTATGGAACATTACAGACCCCGCAAATGCATTGTCAACACTACTTTTCTGTCAACATCAAGAGATCGTGAGATAGCAAAAATTTTTAGCGGTCAGAACGAGGTGAAAGAAGATCAAATGTCGGTCTTTTGTACATATGAAATTAAAAATGATCGTACGGCACTCTATATTGCTGAGTTCTCAGAGGTACCCGCTGAAAGAGAAGTATTGATACTCCCGTTTGCTGCGTTTACTATTAATGCTGTTGAAAAAAGCAACGATGGAGACATACAGATATGGCTTGAAGAATGTGAGCTAACACAACAAAAGAGTTGGATTACAATTCCGTTCTTTACATAGAACTCATTGATACAAAAGATGAAACGCTAAGAAATTTTTAGATTTCTGTTTCAAGCATTATCTGTTAGATGACATGATTAATATCTAAGGTTTTCGTACAAAATCAAAACATTAACTTTTTTCTGTTGTAGTTTATCAGTAATATTTCTTTTTACAAGGAAATCTATTACTATGATTCAATTCTTACTTGTCAAATCCAGAATAAAAAAACATCTGAACCTGCCCTAGTTACGTCCGATGTCCCACAAGGGAGTGTGCTAAGTCGTCGTTTGTTTCTCATATTCATCAACGACCTCGTTTCAGAGTTTCCTGCTTAGTGGCGTAGCCACAGGTGGACTGGGGTGGGCTAAGCCCACCCAAAAACTGTTTGAGCCCATCCTCAAGATATTTGAGTTTATCCGGAAACATTTTTTAGGTGTCTGAAGGAAATTTATGATATAAGATATGAAAGATATCACATCACATTGTTTTCCGAAGTATAAAGATTTCGATCAATTCTGTAGCGGCTACTTATTGTTATTTTTAGATACCCGTATCTCATTTTCCGTGCCCTCTCTTATCTCTCATCGTTCACTATGTTCGGCGTCTTTTCTTGTTCTCATATATTCTCTACGTCCTCTAGTCACACGTTCTACACACTATATTTCGTGTCTGTTTTTCATTCTTCTCACGCTCTTTTCTCGTATGTTCTTCATGGTCTCTTTTCATATAATATCAGCTACCGTGTCCATTCACTGTGTCTCTTCTCTTTGCAATATGTCATCCACTAGGTTATTAAGTGGTAGTTGGTACATCTCTATTTGGTTTTTTAAATATGTGTTCTTGTCAGTTCCCCTCTCGTTCAATCAGTGTTTTTCTTTCATTCTGCTTTATTCGTTTCTTCTTTTAAAAAATTCTAACTTTTAAATTTGAAATTTGAAATTCTTTTAAAACTGCACTCTCCGCGTTCACAAGCTAACTGAAACAGTCTAAGAGTATGGTTGGATAGAGCTCGAAAAACTGAACATATCTGGACAGTTGGTGAGTTCCAGATCTTGGATAAAAATGGTTTTCTAGAGGTTTTTCAAAACCTTACCTACTCAAATTTATATTTTAGTTCCCTTTTCAGCACTTTAAAAGCATGTGATGGAATTTTAAGATATGGTTATCGATAGAGTTGAAGAACACAGGTTTTCTAACATATGCAATTGCCCGATTTGTCCGATCAACATTTTGGATAGAGGCGGAAAATCTGTAAAACTTACTGACAGAGTCTTAAGAATTTTGCTACAGGCTAGAGAAAACTCACATCACCGT